TATATAAATAATAAAAAAATTCAATTTACGAGCCAATCCGTGACCCGCTAGAGTTGAATTACAAGCAAAATATTTATTAACCTATAACTCATATATAACTTAATTCGTAAAACTCGTGACCCAAATAAATCTAACTCGAACCCAACCCAATCCATCCGTTCGTGACCCAAATAAACCCAACTCACACCCGACCCAACCCATCCTTTTGCCACCTCTACCTGATAGGCTGGAGCACTAAAGAAAATGGACATGATAACTGACATGCTCTAGCGCGTCTCGACAAGTTGGCATATCATTTCTTAATTACATTATAGGTTTATTAATTAATAATAATCGTACCATAAATGTTAAAAAAATACTTGGGGAATATCATAGACATTGACCTAGAAGACCCCACCAATTTTGAACTTGAGTGGATACTTGGACGATGCTAAGTAAGTTCCTAGATTTTGCACTGCGCGCACTTTCCACCTTTGTTCCAAGAAAGAACAAATGAAATTACAAGGGAAAATTCTGCCTAAAGCTCCTCTTTCTTTCTGTTTTATACTTTTTCAAGTCAATTTTTCAGGGAATCACAAACAAACTGGAGGTTTCGTAGCAACTTTCACCCTAGACATCAATCATTCAATGAACAAATGTATAATTGTCGGACCATCTTAATTAATATATAACTTAAGTTATCATATTTAACTTTGTTATAAGAAAATTATTTCAATTTAAAATCTCAAACTTTTAAGGTATCAATTTAAACATGTTAACTACTAATATAAAAATAAGTTTTTAAATTTTATTTCAAGATTTATGTGGTTAATTATTTGTAAGCATATATGCTAAATTTAATAAATTAAGCATGGATTGTACTATATTCTAACATATATAATATGATGCACGAATTAATTTTCCTTTCTTCCAAATAAGAATGAAATTTCTTCTGGTTAATGCCAACTATTATCCCTCTACTATAAAAAATAATGCAATTTAATCCTTTTACTATTGATTTGCCTCATGTCCTCCTTTTACTATTAATAAACTTCACTTATCCTCCCTCAACAATTCAAAACTATATCAATGCCATCCTTTCGTCCAATTTAGGTTAACAGCACTGTTTATTCACCGTTTAAGTGCAAATGGTCACAACGTTTGGGCCTTTTTTAATCTTTTTTTTGCCACTCATGCATTGTGGCGCCCATCCTTGTTGTAACTCTCTATACAGTACACCATCCTCCCTCCTTCAATCAAATCCCATTTCTTCACAGAAATGCCTCCAACAGTTACAATCAACCACCAGAAGGTAGATAAATCACATCCTCAGGCTTGCCATGGTTCACCTCCAAAACAGACCTTGGATTCTCCACTCTCACATCCCAAACCTTCACAGTATGATCGTAAGAACCCGTAACAAGCATATCACCACTAACAGGGCTACAGTCCCCATACCTCACATAATCCTTATGACCCACCAAATCCAGAACCACACTCTCCCCGGCCACATCCCAGTACTTATGATTGTATGATTTGTATCATCACTGCTAGACACCAAATGAAGCTTATCAAGAACATGGTAGCACACAAAATGAACAGGATGATACAAATTGGAAAGATTTTGTGGGATTGGAGACGACAAAGTGGGGTACGAGTTTTAACATCGAATACCTGCACTGAATTGGAAAGATTGGCGGCGGCAGGGAGTAGTATGTCGTGACGAAAGGAGAGAGAAGAAACCACATCCAAGAAGGAGATAGAGGAAGAAGTGGCAACATCAAGGTCCGAGAGGGAAAGAGGAAAGTAAGACAGTGAGGTCGAGTGGGCGGAGGCGAAGACGTGAGGTGTAGAAGGAGAAAACGAGACCGAGGAGATCGAGGGGATGAGGGTGGTGATTTGTGTTGACTTGAAAGAACACCAGTACTTAGATTCTGGGATCTGCGATTGGGTCCTGGGTTTTGGTTTGAGCTTCGGCTTAATTGGAAAGGTTTTAGAGATCATAGTTGTCTGCTGTTGGGGTTGGATTTCTGCCATCGCTTATTGGAGAGGAAGTGTACACCAGGAAAAAAACAACAAGCATGCAAAAGCTACTCTGCAGCACCGCTAGGCCGGTGCAACTTTGTCAACATAGCCACAAGTCAACAAAAATGGTCACTAAATTTTACAAAACTGCTAACTCCCAATTGCACTTTACTTTTCATTTATTGCCTTTCGTTATATTTTGCCTATAAATAGCCATGTTCTCACCATTATACGTATCAAGTTTTAATCCAAAATTTCAGTTTATAATTCTCCTTTGTTGAGTGAGTTTTTTGAGAGTGGATTCTCTCAATTTATCTCTGTATTTTAAGTCTTGTTAACTTAAATGGTGAACCTGGCAATCGAATTCATCGTAGTGGGATTTTAAATCTCGTCAAAATTGGTGTTTCGGTATCGGCTCCTACGCCATTTGGTATCAAAGTCAATATATTTGGAGTCTGCACGTCATTCTGAGCGTTCTGGTGAAAACTCAGTTGACGAACAGGGTAGCACATGCCTCCATGCGCCACCGCTGTTGTCTCACGTGCTGACCACTCGCACCACTGCAAATCGCGTGAACATCACGCGCCGATCATCTTCAACCTCTCATTCGCCACGTCATCGTCCAATCACTGCCACATCATCTATTGCCACATCATCTATTGCCACGTCACGTGACACATCATCACTACGGCCGTACTCTTTTACCACGTCATCAAGTCCCTCAACTTATTTTGACCTTACAGATTGATCCCATAATTTTATAAATTTTCAAATTACCCCCACTTTCAAATACTAACTTTCCAAAAAGTTCCTTACCAACCTAAACTCATCATGCCTCCTAGAAGACAAAATCCTCCTCGTCAACGAGCTGTTCGGGACATAGAAATGGAAGAACTACGTTAACAAATTCAAAGGCTTCAAGAAAGACTCGAAGCTTTTGAGGGACAGCAAGCTCAACACCAGCAAGATGAACCACATGAGTTAGAGGAAGATACTGATGACGAGAATCCCTTCCATCACCTAAGGGATAATGAAAGCTCATCATCAACAGAAAAAGTTCGTCGTCGACGACGTCCCCAAGAAAATGCTGCTCCCAAATCCACTGACCTTGGCATCAACATTGATATTCTAGATTTTGAAGGTCGCCTTCAACCAAATGAATTTATCGACTGATTGCACACTATAAAACGTGTGTTTGAACTCAAGGACATTCCTGACGACAAGCGTGTGAAGCTCGTCGCCATCAAATTAAAGAAACATGCATCCATTTGGTGGGAGAATCTCAAACGCAGTCGAGAAAGAGAAGGTCGTAACAAAATTAGAACTTGGGAGAAAATACGTCGGGAGCTCACTCGTAAGTTCTTACCTGACCGTTACTACTAAGATAATTTTGTTAAATTTCATAACTTGCAGCAAAAATCTTTGACTGTGAAAGAATATACTATGGAGTTCGAACAATTAATGATGAAGTGTGATGTTCGAGAAAAAGAAGAGCAAACCATAGCAAGATATCTTGGAGGATTAGACAATGACATTTCCAAAGTAGTTCAACTTCAACAATATTGGACTTTGGATGATGTCATTCGGCTAGCATTGAGGGTTGAAAAGCAAATCTCAAAGAAGAATATTACTATTGCTTCAAAACCATGAGATTTTGAAGCTAGCCAAGGGACCCAAGCCTTAAAGATTGTTGCTGAGACACCTGCCAAAGTTGAGAAGGAAGCTAGTTCAAGCCATCCAGCCCAGCCTAACACTCGAAAGTCTTTCAAGTGTCAAGGATTTGGCCACATTGCCTCTGATCGTCCCAATAGGAGAATTATCACCATTATCGGAGGAGAGATTCATCAAGTCTTAGATGGTGAAGCAGAAAAGGAGATTAATGATGAGATTAAGCCACAAGTTGAGGAAGAACTCATCGCAGCTGACCATGGAGAATCTTTGGTTGTGCGTCGAAGTCCTCATGATACCATAACCAAGGATGAGGACAAGGCCTTAATCTCTAGATCAACCTTTCAGAAGTTGCATCAAGAATCGAGGACAGCTTGTCTCTTGCTATTATCTAAAGTGAATGATGCCATTTCCCCTTTTCTAGAGGAAATTCGATCTCTCCTTGAAGAATTTTCTAATGTTGTTCCTGATGAGACCCCTCATGGATTACCGCGAACTCAACGAAACAAGGATTTTTTCATGGTTGTGTCTACAAGACCAGACTTCCAGGTGACTATGGAGTCTCTAGTACTTTTAATGTTGCTGACTTATCTCCTTACTATGAGGATCATGAGCACTGAACTCAAACTCGAGGACGAGTTTTCTCCAACCAGGGGAGAATGCACCAGGAAAAAAACAACAAGCATGCAGAAGCTACTTTGCAGCACCACTAGGCCGGTGCAACTTTGTCAACATGGCCACAAGTCAACAAAAATGGCCACTAAATTCTACAAAACTGCTAACGCCCAACTGCACTTTACTTTTCATTTATTGCCTTTTGTTATATTTTGCCTATAAATAGCCATGTTCTCACCATTGTACGTATCAAGTTTTAATCCAAAATTTCAGTTTATAATTCTCCTCTGTTGAGTGAGTTTCTTGAGAGTGGATTCTCTCAATTTATTTCTGTATTTTAGGTCTTGCCAACCTAAGTGATGAACCTGACAATCGAATTCATCGTAGTGAGATTTTAAATCTCGCCAAAATCGGTGTTTCGGTATCGACTCCTACGCCAAAGTGTCAATGGCGGTTGCGGTTTTGGTTTTACAACATTTAAGGTTTTGTTATTTGAGTCTGGGTTTCAAGGTTTGTTTTGTTCATGTTTTATTTTTTGATC